CCCCACCCCAATGCCAGCCTCATTCTACAACAGTGGCACCATATAGCATTTGTCCCTTTGTGACTGAGATACCTCACTCAGCATAATGTCAAACATTCTTCTAAGTGGAATAGCACTGGTCTGTTCATTTGCTGTAGAGAGGTAGCTTGTGGTTGCTGTGACGCTAAACACTGTGACACTGATGTGTCACATGCAATAATGGTTACCTATGGTGGACAGAGTTTGGTAGAGCTCCCCAATTAAAACAAGCTTGGAAGCAGGAATGGCATCCAGTTCGGAAATAGCTTGCCTCCAGAAACTCTATGAACTTGGAGAAATGATGAAAGTTATACAAGTGTTCAGGTCTTTCATTCATAAGGTCCTTATGAGTTGTCTACAACTCAAAGGCACTTAACGACAATAACAACAACAATCTAAGATAGCCATGCAGTGTCTCCTTACTCTGTTCTGAGGACTGCTTCCTAGAGCACAGGTTTCACATAACACAATCAAGTGCTCTGGGATTCCCATTATTCTCAAAGTTAGTCACAATTTGTTGTGATCCAAACTGTAAAATGCCTTTGCCAAGTCGTTGAAACAAAAATAAGACATCCCTCTGGTACTCTCTGCTTCAAGACCCATCTAATACTTGCGATAATGTCTTTAGTGTCACGACCTCTTCTATTTCTGGGAGTTCTCTGTCAATGTACTGTACCTGTTGTTTCTGGATAATCTTCAGCAGGATTTGGTTTGTGCTTGATTATTCATGGTTCGATAATGTCTACACTCTGTTGAGTCACCTTTCTTTTGAATGGGACTAAATACTGCATTGCATGGTTCAAAATCAGGAAAGGAGCGCGCCAAGGATACATCCTGTTTCCTTACCTTTAAATCTATATGCAGATTACTCGGGAAGCTGGACTTTATGAGGAGCAATGTGGGATCAGGATGGGTGGAAGACTCATCAACAATCTACGTTATGCAGACGACACAACCTTGCTTGCTGAAACTGAAGAGGACCTGAAGCACTTGCTGCAGAAGGTCAAGGACTGTAGTCTTCAATATGGATTTGACTCTTCTAGTTTTATATCATTCTTTGACACAAACAGCAAAGTATAGTGTGACTTAAATTGTGAAGTAAAGAGTCTACATTCCTACTGTTTTATAGCTTAACAGTAAAGGAGTTGGGTTGCCAATGCAAAGGCACTTGGTTCGAATCCACCAGTGGCTCCAAAGGCAAAAGCTGGGCAATCTTCCCATGCAATTTACAGCCTCTGAAAACCTGCTAGAGGTTCTGGCTCAGTGGTACACAGAAGAACTTAGTGTTTTGAACAAGTAAGGAATACTGTTAGTGCGATCAATGACTCAAACCCACTAGCCACTTCATGAGAGAATGTCTTATTCTGCTTCTGTTAGATTTACAGTCTTGGAAACTTTATGGACAATTCTACTCTAGTCTATATAATCTAACAAGGACACTGGATTGAAATTTCACTGGAAAGTAATCTAAGCCTCAGTCCTCTTATCTATACAGTCAAAACTACTGTGCTTTCAGGAGTGGGGGGATACAAACAAAAACGACTGTGCTTTCAGAGTTGCTAATGAATACAGAAAAAGCCTTGATCACACCAAAGCAAGTACCTCAAAAGAACGCTGGATCAGAACAAAGCATAATAACCTATCTCTAGATATGTTAAAGAACAATGCTTTCAAGAAATTAAAACAACCCACAGTTACAATATTTAGTTTTATTTATAGTACTTAATATCCCATGGAGTGACAAAAGAACAAGTATGTCTTGGAGAAAGTGCAGCCAGAGTGTTCCTTGGAAGCAAAGATGATAAAGCTTTGCTTCACAAATATCAGGCATATTGTTAAGAGAGGCTATACCTTGGAGAGGGGCATCACACTAGCAAAGGTGGAGGAGGATCAAGAATAAAGAGGAAAACCCTCAATCAGGCAAACTGACACAGTGACTGCTACAATGGGCTCAAGTATGTCAGGGACGAAAATGGCACAGGATAGGACTGGGTTCAGATCTACTACTGTTCATAAGGTCACTATGGGTTGCACGCAACTCAATGGGACCTAACAACAACAACTACTACACTTAAAAGAAGCAAGCCCTAGGAATATATTTCAGAAAAGTGACAGCCATTGAAAACTACGAAGTACAGCTCTAACTCTGCAACACACAGACCTGCACTGAGTCAAACTGAATCCAAGATTGAATCCTATATACAGCTGAATTTCATTGTCATCAAGTGCCACTGAGTCAAAACCAACTCACAGCGGACTCTCCAGTGGGTTTTCAGAGGCTGTAAATCACAGAAGACTGCCTATCATTCTCCCTCAGAGCAACTGGTGGATTTGAACTGACTGCCTTTTGGTTAGCAGCACAACTCCTTACATACTGTGTGCTGTTTAGTTGGAACAAACCCACAGCTGACCCTCCAGTGGGTTTTCAGAGGCAGTAAATTAGAAGGGAGTAGACTGTCCATCATTCTCCCATGGAGCAATTGGTGCATTTGAACAGCGTGCCTTTGGGATTTCACTGTAACGTCTTACCAGGAGGCCACCAGAGCTCCTTGTTGTTGTTGC